TTCTAAATTTTGGTAACTATTTACTATCAACCTAAATTCAGGAAATGATGCCTGATTTCCTCTCACCATCAACAAGACAAGCCTTGTGCTCTAACTCAGATCCTTTACACCTGGCACTTTCTAGATGTTCAGGATCCCCTGGAGGAAGGAGAGCCCTTTTCTCCAACCTGTTACTTTCTCTGCCCTGGATGGAGATGGGGAGGGAGTGTTTACAATGTATACCCTAGCTCAGCACACTTTTCACACATTAACTAGTCCAATCTTTGCATATACCAAGGCAGAAGGTGCGATTACCATCCCTCCTGTTTAAGTGGGTAAAGTGAGCAAGAAGTTTGTGAACTAAGTGAGAGTTTGAGTCTGCCATGACCTTCTGGCAGGAATCAAAGGATCCATGTGAAGCTGAAGGAAGAGACTTCACCTTGGTTTCCTAGTGCTGCTGTAACAAATACCACAAGTAAGCAGTTTTAAAGAACACACATTTATTGTCTCATAGTTGAAGAGGCTAAAAGTACAAACCAGGATATTGATAATGTTAATTTCCTCTGTGAGTGAGTCTATCTCCTAGTTATGGCATTTGCTGATAATCCTTAATGTCCTTTTGCCAAAGATCCAGGACATGTGTTTTCTGTCTTCTCTTGTATGTGTGTCTCTGTATCTAGTTGATCTTTTTATAGCTCAGAATCAGTTAGGTTTAGGACTTACCTTACACTAGTACGCTGTTAGCCTGTGAACCCATAGCAAGCCTATGTACCACAGCTCTGAAGCCTGCCCTGTCCTGAGCCAGTCTCACTGACTCTGACACACCTACCTCCATTGCCCCAGTTACTGGAGCAATCCGTTTCATCCAGGGTCCTCCTCTCCTGCACTCTTCCTCCACCTTTCTGAGCATGATGTCCTTCTCCAAGGACAAGTCTCTCCTGCCCGAAGTATGTGAGGAGGAGCTTCAAAATTATAGCCTCCAAGGAGAGACTTGGTTTCACCCTCTCTAAAACAGACCTATTTGTTTTCTTGGCAGTCCATGGTATGTTTAAGGTTCTTCTTCAGCACCACAACTCAAGGCATAACTATGTTATAATTTAGTGGGGAAACACACTAAATTAAATTAGATTAAATGCTCTGTTCTACCTAAACCCAAAGGATTTAATCATATGCGACTATTTATGATAGCAACTAGACTAGTGTCGATTTAATCAATTGGGAACCATAACCTAAACAAGTTTATACAAAAATTATCACAGAGGAGGAGGCAGAGTTTAAGAGTCCACAATAGCAGGTGAAGCACATGCGGGGTAGGGGCTAGAAACAGTGGGAAGTTGTTACTAACCCTGGGCTTGGAGGGGTAAGGGAGAAAGTATGGAAACAGAGTGCAGCGACTGTGGTTGGAGGCCAAGGCCACTAGCGTCAGTATCATCAGCAGTGATCTGTCTTCCAGGTCACTGGGCTGTGGTAAGAGCAGAGAGGAGTTGGAGGGGGGTGATGAGAACAACGAGGACACTGCATGTCTCTTGACTTCCGCCCCAACCATCATCATGCAATATGGCCAGAAGCAAGAGGACATCAGGCAAGGTCACCCCATCTCCTGGTAATGAGGCCGTGTGAGAGCCAAGGACAAGATGAGCCTCCCTGGCCTCACAACACCACTCCTTGCCATTACCTTGAGTTACAGGGGCAAGTCTGGTTGTGTCTCCTCACTGGTAAAATCTCTTCAGAAATTTGCTTTATTTCACCTTATCAGAGCAGGTGAAGCTCTTTGGACCTGGCTGCCCTTCAGCCGCATTCCCTCTCACTTAGCTCACCCCTCACTTATGCAGATCTCTGCTCCCAAGGTGTCTCTCGAGGTCAGAGGCTTCCTTGGCTTCATGATCCTGAATAGCTCCCTCATCCTTCTGTCCTCTATGTCTGGCTTAATTTTCTTCACCACCATCTGATATTATGTTTATTTCTTTACTGTCCTTCTTCCTACCCATTACAGAAGATACCGAGTTACCAAAGCCCCAGCCTCTAGAGTGATGCCTGATAAGAATGCAAATATTGCAAAGTGTTGCTTAAAGTTTAGAAGCTGGATGATGAGATCAGTGAGGGAGTGATGTGGAGATAAAGAACTGTGACTGACTGAACCAGGTGTCCCCTGCCCCTAGACATTAAATCCTTGATATAGGAGGAGACAGAAGGACCAATGAGATGGCAGGAAAGCTAAGTGAGAAAAGTGTCCGCGAGGGACATGTTACCAATCAGTGAAAGGACTTGAGGATTGACCTCTCTGACTATTAAACTTAGCACTGTAGAAGTCAGTGGCAATGTGGGCGGTCACACTTCTAATAACTTAGTGGTGTACAAGCCTCTCTGCAGTGAGTTCAAGAGCAAAGGGGACAAGATGAACTAGAGACAATGACTAGAGAGACAACGTTTCCTAAGTGTTTCTGTTGTAAAGAGGAGCTGGGCAAAACAACTATGAGATACCATCTCACCTCAGTAAGAATAGCAAAATTCAACAGAGCAGCAAACAACAAATGCTGGCGAGGTTGTGGAGAAATAAGAACACTTATTCACTGTTGGTGGGAGTGTAAAATGGTGTAACCACTATGGAAGGTTGTATGGCGCTTTCTCAAAAAGTTGGAAATAGGAATATCCAGCAATTCCACTACTGGGAATAGACCCTAAAGGAACCATAACTGCCATCCAAGCAGATATATGCACACTCATGTTTATTGCTGCTTTGTTCACAATAGCAAAGAGTTGGAAACAACACAAGTATCCATCAACAAATGAATGGATGGAGAAACAGTGGTACACTCACACAATGGAATACTATGCTGAATTGAAAAAGAAAGAACTCATGAAATATTATACAAAAAGGGTGACCATAAAAAAAAACCCACACAAAAAAATTAAAAAACAAAACAAAAGGGTGACCATGGAGGACATTATGCTGAGTGAAATATCAGCATAGTAAATTGGTCTGTGGGAGGGACTGTATAATAAGGAATGAACTTTTTTCTAAAGAAAAAAAAAACGAACTGGAGAGGAGGGGGCAGGGAAGAAAATGTGCAACCATGAATGAATGAAAACCCAAGTTCTTTATAAACTTAAAATAAAAAATGAGTACATGGGAACTCTGTTAGTGCCTGGAGGGAAAAGGGTGTTTGAAGAATTTGTTGTTGTTGTTGTTGTCATTGTTGTTGTATTGCTGTTCTTTTCATCAGGAGTTGTGTCAGTATGTTTGCATGCAGACACCAGAGAGAGGTAGGAGAGTGATGCCCAAGGAGAGAGAAAGAGAAGGGAGAGTAGTATGGCCCAATCCAGACCCAAAGACAGAGGCAGGGCTCAATGTATAAAAACAAACAGTTTATTTATAAGCTAGAATGGATACAGTACACAGTGCAACTCTCATTGTCTTGGGATCAACACAAGCCAGGGAACTGAGACCAAACTCAGTTTTCTTTCAAACTCATCTGGGAAGAATCACTTTGAGACCTGAGGTCTCTTCCCCGGATTTCCCAGCAGGGGGCAGACGCATTCTACAGTCAATCCCAACTTGGGCTGAGACTGGCCAGTCCAGACAATCCACTATCTTCAGTGCAGGAAGTTCTGTTTGTCTTCATAGAAATAGTTCAAGGGTCAAGTTCAAGTCTAGTGGAATTTATCAGTGGGAGAGTCAAATCCCTTGGACAAAGCTAGCCTCACAAATTTCATTATATTCTTCCCTTCTAGAATCTGGTCTAATCCATACTCATCCACCTTCTGCAGGGCTCTAGGCATTAATTTGAGGGGAAAGTGAGGACAAAATATATTGGCAAAATGCCCTCTAATAGGCACAAGAGAGATTAACCAAATTATTGGCTTCAGTTGCTTCAAAGCGGGCTATCTGAAATCCAATGATACACAACACAAATATAGACATACAGACACTAAATGGCTCTCAGCATCTCACATCCTCTCAGAATCACAGTAAGCACAGTACCGAAACGGCCATTCCCCTGGGGTAAGGACACCAGAAACAGGGGAAGGGACAGAGGAACCGAGGAGCACCTCAGGAGGGAAGAAGGAAGGACCAGGATGAGGTAGAAGGAAAGAGACGCCTATTTGGGGAAGGTCTCAGACATCTACAGTTCCATAAATTCCCTGATAGAAGAAGGCGTAGCTTCACACCTGCACATGGAGAGAGAGGGAGAGGGACAGAGAGTGTGGAGACAAGAGGGAACTGGAGTTGTGGACAACTGGAGTGAAGGCAGAGGACATGGTAGTAAACAAAGGGTCATATACACCCTCGTTGGGTGGTTTAAGGGGTTTTTTTTTTCCTTGCTGCATGATGCTTAATTTTTTTTTTTAAATTGCAATATATTAAGATATGAAGATTTCCAGTTAAGAGCTTCACATCAATCTTGTTAAGGGTTTGGGCCTGGGGCTTCTGGGCACTTGATTTTTATACTGGGTAATAACACAAAGTATTGACAGAGTGGATATTTTTCCAAAGGCCCCTGAGTAAGGTGGGGTACCTGGGTCCCCCACAGGGGCTGCCCCTCATCTCTGCATAGAATCATCTGCTAGATGGTCACCACCTCAGCCTGTCCTACAGATTCAACATTTAGGCTGAAGCTCTATCTTCCCTCTCTAGGTGACTGTCCAAAGTATCTACTTGCCAGCAAGTCTTTTTGAGAGGGAGAGTACAGGGGCCTCCCAGAAGCAAAGGTCACCTGGGAAGCCAGAGTTGACTACAAAACACCAAGTGATCCAGAAGCCAGGCTCACAGGTTCAGCTGGGGGCAGCTCAGAAGGGGGCTTCAGCTGCCTGGCAAGCCTAGGGCCAGCTCTGCTACTGCCCAGGCAGCTTTCCAGGAAGGAGCCCTCCATGCCTCATCTTTCCTGCCTGCAGGAGAGAGGGAGGACATGACGCAGAAAGAACTACAGCGTGGGGAGAATTTCAGGCTTGCTGGGACGATGAGCTTCTTCTCAAGGTTGCCCTGCCAACAGTCCTGTGTTGACATGGCCCCTGCCAGTTGGTTAACAGGGCTTCATCCCAACACCCAGCACCCCTAGAGGCAGCGGCTTCTCGGAGTTCTGTGGCAGTGTCTCTAGTGTGCCAGGCTGTGACTGAAAAGCACACTCCTCCTCGGAGAAATGGACCTTCTCATCCTTTGGGGAATCCGAGGGGCTGGGCTCCGTGTCCCCAGTCATGGAGCTGGCCTGGGAGGGGCACTTGGGGCCATGGTCAGAGCTGCTGCAGACATTCACGATGCAGGTGACATTGACCTGGGTCCCACCACCAGGAGAAGGCTCTGCTAGGCAAAAGATAGAAGAGGGGAGTCAGTCCCGGGGTCACAGGGCGGGGGGCATGCTCACAGCCTGTCTCCTGCCAAACAGTAGATTCAGGGGCCAGGGAAGTATTAGACCTCCCCCAAAAAAGAAGACAGAGTTCCAGCCCAGCTCTGCTGTCTGACCTCAGATGTGCCTCAGTCTCCTTGTCTGTCAACTAAAAATCAGTACAACCCGCCCAGTGGAGCAGACCACATGGATGGGAAGAGCCAAGTAGACAGGTTTTGCTACAAGAAAAAAAATCCATTTCTCATAAAGAGTCAGAGGTCTGAGCAGGGACAGATGATAAACTAGGTAGAATACTGGCGGATGAAGATAATGACGAGGATGTGTTTACCATTGGAAGGCATTGCTAGCAGCCCTGGCAGTGTCTATGATGAAAAGGGGGACTTTCTACGTGTTATCTGCCAAAGAATCCACATCAGAGGAATTGGAGATTATTCTTTTACTGAGATTAAGCACTGATTATTTTTTTCCCCCCATCTACATAAAGCTGCCTCTGAAGATTTCACAAATCTGGCATCTGGGGCAGGTGGCTTGTTTCTTCTCATGACCGAGGTCAGGATGGCACAGAGTTTGTGGTCTGATGACAACCCTAGTTTTGGATGCCTGACCTCCCTCCATATTCTTGGTCAAGTCATTTAACGCCTTGGATCTCAGTTTGCTCAGCTGTGAAGTGGGTATAATTTCAAGCAGAGAAGAGTCTGTCACGTTCACTGCTATATCTCCAATGCCTGCATGACTCCTGGGGACCGAGCGAGACTCTCAGTGAAGCAGAGATTGAAATCCGTTCCACACCTCCACTTGCATGATTACAGCCACCTCAAACTTCACTCTGCTCCCCACTTCTCATCCAGCCTGCCCCTTCCCTTCTCAGCTCACATTGCTATCCAGCACCCAGCTGCTCATGTCCAGGGCCTTGGACCTGGCCTGATGCTTTCTCTTCTTCCCATGCCCCATTTGCCGGCTGACCTAACTTCAAAAGGCAGCATATACTTCCCCTACTACCATCCCATGTAAGCATCCATCTGCTCACCGCTGTCTGCCGCCTTCAACTGCACCCCTCTGTGGTGAGTTCTCTACCAGGAGCCACAATCAGTACTTCACTCCCTTGGCTTCTTGAAGAAAGATGGTCAACGCTGTAATCTCTGACTTAGGCCTTCACATCTAAGCCTGCCTTTCCCAGTCTCCCCACCATCTCAGCCATCCTGACTGGGTCAGGTCCAGCCACATTCACCTCCCTTGAGCAGCAACTTGAGCCCTCAGGGCCTTTGTACATGCTGTTCCCCTGGCCTGGAAAGCTGGGCCTATTCACACAGCTTACTCCCTCCTTTCATTCAAGGATCAGCTAAATGACACTTCCTCCAGGCAGCCTGCCCAGATCTCCCTCTCTATAAATGTCCATCTGCCCCTCTCTGGTCTATGACCTCCAAGGCAACAGGCAACTTTCCTCTAGCATGTGGTTACAGTTGGCCTTCCCACCAGACACTGGGCCCAGGAGGGTAGGGTCTCTTTGACTGTTCCCTGCTCTGTCCCTACTATCTAGGACAGACACTCATGGTGAAGGGAGGTGAGGAATAAATCCAGCCCACAGGTATGTTTTGTTCTTGGTAGTGGGATTCAGGAGTCTGCCTTTTTAAGAATTAGGATTTCTGACTTTCCCTGGGAGGCAGATGTGAGAAAGAGGACACCATGCAAATCACAGTTTTGCACAGCAGCAGTGCAGGGTCTCTGAGAAGCAAGTCTCCCTCACTTCCCTGGCTGTAGAGGTGACCCGCCTCCCAGCACCCACAGGCACCTGCATTTCCTAACTGGTTGATGAGAAGCTGAATGATGGTACTAAACTAGGTGTGACAGGCACTGGACACACAATCATCTCTCAAAAAGTTCTAGTTAAAGCTCCTGCTCCCAGGACCCACTGAGTGTCTGCATGCATGTGGTCCTCAAGGTGATTGAGCAAGGCTAGCCTGTTGGGGTCCCTGCCTCCAGAAGCAGCACAGCCCTCACAGGAGGGGTGCAGCTATACACATAATGCTGGGAGGAAATTTCCACCTCAACCTTCCACAGGACCCAAATGTCACCCAGAGACACTATAGCCTTTGCAACACAGTGTATGGAACAGAGTAGGGGTGAGCTGGGGCACAGCCCACCGCAGAGAAGCAAGGAGCTCTGGTGGCCTAGTGGGTAAGAAGTTGCACCACCAACCCTAAGACATGAGGTTGGAATCCACTAGCTGCTCTGTGGGAGAAAGATAGGCAATCTCCTCTCAAGTGACCTGCGACCTCTGAAACCCGCTGGAGGATCAGCCATGAGCTTGTTCTGAGTTGACAGCACAACAGCACAGTAGAGAAAGTATAAGTGGCAGGAGGAGAAGACAGAGAATGCAGAGACCAGGAGAGGAGCTCTTGGGAGAAGAACAAAGAGAGGCAGAGGGTAGAAGGACAGGCAGACATGGATAGATGCTAGGGCCAAGAAAGCCACACATGGGTGGCATATGAGACTAAAAAATTGGAAGGCAAATCCAAGGGCTTGGGCAGACACTAGGAATTTCTATTTGGATCCTGTGGAGGCAATGAACAATGAGGGCCACTGGCTCTGTCTCAGACACCGGTCCAGTCTCTCCTTCAATGAGCTCTTGGGATCTTGGGTGGGTTGGGGGTTGTGGTAAGAGTAGGGAGTGAGGGTGGTGGGGCACTGACATCACATTAACGACGTCGCTGTGATGGATCTGAGAGAGCCACCAAAGCTCACACAGGCATTCAGGGGAGGTGTGTGTCAGATAACAGGAAGGGAAGGATGTTGTGGGCAGAAGCAAGGGGGTGCAGCATGTGGGGGAGCAGCAAAGCATGCAATGCTGGAGGGGGGCTGCAGGGTAGGAGTGGCTAGACCCAAAAGTTCCCATCTGGAGGTCAGCTGGTGAGATAGTGAGCCAGCCAGTGTCCAAGCCTTCTATAGTCATTCAGCACCCATCAAGCATCCCTGTCAAGACATACCACACCCTCATTCTCAAGATGAAACTGAGGCTTGGCAGAGTTAAAGTATCTGCTCAGATTCACTTGGCTCCCAAGGCTCTGAATCCATCCTCATTTCCTGACCTCACTCCAGCTGGCATGACCAGATGAAGGGGCAAGAAGCAAGCCAGCAACAGGACTCATTAGCAGTTTTGGCTTCTGCTTGGTAAATTAAACCTGAGAAAGCTCTGAAGTTCCCAGGGGACCCCTGCAAGGGCCTATGTGGGGACTGCAGATTCTAGTTCAGGGGTTCCATCTACTACAGATGAGATCTGCAACACAAATGCAGATTGCACAAACAGTGCATGGGCCCTATATGCCTCCATAGCTCCCTCAGAACTCCAATCCCCTAAATGGACGGGGCACCAGTCCCAGGACGAGGAGCCCCTGAGGTATCATGACTCATCCTTCTTGCAGCCCCTGGCTCATGCATTGACCAGTTGTGCGCCTTTTCCTCCAGGGGTCTCCATTTCCTTGTTTGTTAGAATGGCTAAGGTTGTATGTCAAGTTGGCTGCTGGTGATTCTCTGGTTTGGCTGCTAAGATACAGTCTTTCCCTTGATGAGATCTAATGTAATGAAAGCATCCTTTCAATGAGATCTGTTATCAGCAGCCAATCCACTGAAAAGAGTTTCATCATTGTATAACCTACACGGGACGTCGGTCAAAGCTTGCTTGCCTTTTACTAGAGCAGGATCCTGCATCTGCCTTGCCACCTCTTTGGGTTTTCTGGACTCAATAATTGGCCTGCCTTACCTGCTAATCTTGGATTTATCAGCCTCTGAAATGATGAGCCTTTCTCCTAAGGTCTGGTTCACCCACCTGGGACTCCCCAGCCTTGTACAAGTCATTCCTTGGAGGGAGGGAGGGAGGGAAGGAGGGAGAGAGAGAGAGAGAGAGAGAAGAGGAGAGCAGAAGAGAGGAGAGAGAAATGGGCAGTCTTCTTCAACTAAGATTTACAGCCCTAAAAACATGATGCGAGTATATATATTTATACTACATTGGTTTTGCTTCCCTGGAAAACCCAGTCTAAGATATCTGCAAAATGAAGATAATTTTAGTACCTACTTCTTAGCAACACTGCACAGATTATTTTTAGGTATGTAAAGTGTCCAGAAGAGTATCTGACACACCGCAAACACTCAGTAAGAAGAAGTTGTTATTCTTGTTGCTGTTGTTAATAGCCAGGAATCGTGATGTCCCAGCTTCCTTGGTGGTGTACCACAGCCCAGGGAGGGTGAAAGGAGCAGACAGACATGACTTCACCGGTGACAATCCTGTTCAAGGGCTTAAAGAGCCCAGCAATGAGGCCAATCCATCCATGGCAGGGGGCCAGACAGGACAGGCTTTCAGGAAAATTCCCTGTCTGGATATTAGGAACTAGAACGACAAGCTGGGGTTGTCCAGGTGCAGGGGCCAGGGAAAGGAGAAGGAGGTGCACTCCAGGTAAAGGACAAATGGGCAAAATTAAGGGGAACACAGCGGGTTCAGGGAACTAGGGGAAGTCCAGTGTGACCGGATATGGAAACTGAGCGAGGGGCAACGGGGATGAGAGCAAAGGCATGTCCAAGACGTCTCTCCCACCAAGAGCTCAGAGCTCCTGTGCAGCAGAGGCCTGGGAGGAGATAGTGAAGACCAAAATCAGAGAAGAAATATGGAGACAGGAGTAGGGACTGAAGCCAGGTGCAGCCCGCTCTTACCTGAGGTGGTACAGCTGGCCCAGGCCTCCCCGACACCACTGGCCTTCTCCATGCCAGGGGCCTGTGGCTGGTTCCTGGGGGGGCCTCTCCTGTCCGCGGCACTGGCCGAGCTCTCCAGGGAGCTGCTGCTGGAGCTGGTCGCCGTGGTTAACAGGTGCTGCTGCTCCGGCCCGGGAGCGCCTCGGGCCTTGTCAGGCAGCAGGTGAGGCTGGACAGAGAGGAGAGAAGCTGTTAGTTCCAGCAGCCTCTCATCCTGCCTCCTTCTCACCACCTCACCGCCATTCGCACCTCAGGCTGTCAGCACTTCACAGTTTACAAGGAAACTGACCACACCTGCACGTTCTCTCACCACACACAGTGATTTTAACAAGTTGAGATTCTCCAGGGGTTTGTGTTTCTCTGACTAGTGACTGGCTTCTGCCCTGAAGCAGGGCAGGCAGAGGTCAGGTAGTCTGCTCACCAAACTGCCCTGGTGAGCTAGGGTTTATACTGTATTTGGTATAAGAAAATAAAGGTCCAGAGAAGCAACCTTTCCTAAGGGCACCCATCAGAACAGGGAGACATAGTACAATTTAGCTTGAACTCTGGAGCAAGACTCTACCACTCATGGCTGTGTGACCTTAGACAAGTTACTTGACTTCTCTATGCTTAAGCTTTTTTTACTATAAAAACCATTTTTGTTATTCAGTCAATTCAGAGTCATGGAGACCACTAGTGTCAGCAATTGTGCTCCTAGGATTATCTAGGCCTATTTTTTAATCTGCTTGGAAGCTTACAAATCATGTTGGTTTTTTCATTCAATCAATCATACATTTTGTTTTATAACATTATAATTACAATTTCATTCAAGCATCCCTACACATTTTGTTTATAACATAAATTACAATTGCTTATTGCAATTAATTAATGACACTATCTGGTCAACCACTTTCCCTTCATCTAACTTATTTATTAATTTATTAACTCTTATTCCCGTCTCCCTCCCTTCCCATCCCTAGTAACCAGGCTCCATACAGTTTTCAATGGCTGGTTTTTCTGAAGTAGAGTGAGCCTTTCTTAAAGAGATGTCAGTGGGTGGACTCGAACCATCAACCTTTAGTTCGGTAAAAAATACTTAAAAATGGTTGCTAGCTTTCAGGGAGAGGAGCAAATGGGGCGGGGGAGGCGGGGTGGGCGGGGAGAAGGATGCAACAATGAATGAATGGAATTCCAAAATCTCTGTAGATGTTCATTGAAATGAAAAAGAAATAAATCCAAATATTAAAAAAAAATTGATAGCAAGTGGTTTTTAACTCAGGCGACCTCATGTGTTGGTAACAGGGTTTCCAGTGACTAGATTTCCAGAAGTACATTCACTAGGCCTTTTTTCTAAGAGGTGCCTCAGGTGGACTCCAGTGCAGCCATGTCCAGAGCTGCCTGTTCCCCATCTCCTCCTCTAGCTTCCCTGGAAGCAGGTGGGCCTGCCACACCCAGCTTTAGGGGGAAGGAAGGCATTTTTCGTAGGTTGCACTGTTGCGGGGAGGCCATGTGAGGCCCCCAGGGCCCACCTTCAAGCCCTGCTCTGAGCCAGGACAGGCAGGGATGGAGAAGCAGCCAAATGTCATTCTCAGAGCAGGGGCTTTTCTGACCTGTGTCCAACCCTCTTCTGTTGTTAGGTCAAGCCAGGCAAACTGAAACCCACAAAGGTCAGGGCCACCTCCCTTCTAGAAAACCACAAGTTACAAAGTTCAGGCAGACTCTGAAGAAGGACCCAGAAGGGGGAATCCTGAGGGGCTTTGTAGGAAAACAGGATCTCAGACATCCAGGCCCTGCACCCTCCAGCTCCTCCCAGCCCACTCCTGTCAAGGGAGAAGCAGAGACCCTTGGCAGATCCTGGCAGAGCTGAGGTCCTCCAGGCTACCATTAGGTTCACCCACCTGCATATACAGGTGTGAGGGTGTATAAAGTGTGTACACATACTTGGTTACATATAGCGACACGTGGGCATGTCTGTGAGTAGTGCTAGTAGCAATGTGCTTGCCGGCGGTGGTAGAAGCACCTCCCGCCTTGCGTCCTGGTTTCCTCTCACTAGCTATGCAACCTTGGGAAAGTTACTTAACATCTCTGAGTCCAAGTTTCCTTAGCTGTAAAATCGGAGCAATAATTATACTACCTGCACGTGTAGATAGAGTACATACAACAGGCTTAGTATGGTATTTGGCATTGAGTCAGCATCTCATAAATGTGGGCTCTCATTATTAAATACGAGCCCCTGCATGAGAGTGTCTGTGGGGAAATTGTAGTCACTGTCCCACTATACCCCGGGGATCATGTCTACAGCAAGAGGGACAGGTCGCCCAACTGAAGGTAGCCTGAGCACGGCCAGGATGGGAGTATTTACACCACAGAAATTGACAAACACCACCAATCGACATGCTTTCCCTGTAGAGAGGGGGTTGCCAGGGCACCAGGGAGCTGTGCACACAGCAAAGATAAGTTGAGCTGCTCACGCCCAGCAAAGGCAAAGCCCAGGGAAGGGAAAGAAGAAGTGAAGGCTCCTGGGCTGCCCCACAGGACTCAGGGCTCTGAGTCTCGGGAATCCTAGAGTTCAGAAAGAGAACTAGTGCCTGGGCTATCAGGGAAGAAATTGGAAGCATAGTTCTTCACATCACTGAACTGAGGCCAAAAAGAGAGAAATAAAATTAACATGCTGAAGGGGAGAGAAACAGTTTGATTTCCCAAACCAATCCTCATACTCATGGATGACTTATGTTCATACAAATGCTCACATACAAGGGAATATTCCAGGATAGAGCAAAGTGGGCTGGGCTAGGAGTCCAGAGACAACTCTGTGAACTTGGCAAGGTCCCTTTCCGTCTCTGTGCTTCTCTGCAACAAAGCAGGAAATTAAATCAAACTGTGGAGGATAGAAGGAAAATTGATGCCTTTGAGCTGTGGTGCTGGAGAAGAGTATTGAATATGCCACGGTCTGCTGGGAGAACAAAGAGGTTCATCTGAGAGAGGGTGAAACCAGGCTGCTCCTTGGAGGCAAGGATTCTGAAGCTTCATCTGACATACTTTAGACATGCTGAAAGGAGGGACCAGTCCTTGGAGAGGGACGTCATGCTTGGGAGAGTGAGGGGATAGTGCAGGAGAGGAAGACCCTGGATGAGATGGATTGCCTCAGTGACTGGGGTAACGGGGGTAGTTGTGTCGGAGACACTGAGGTTGGCACAGGATTGAGCAGAATTCAGAGCTGTTGTATATAGGTCACTATGAGTCACAAACGACTCAACAGCACTTAACAACATGTTTTCTACCAGACCTACTTGTGGCAAGGCCTGTGTAAGTCTCAGGCACGGAGCTACTCAAGACTGAGCTTTTTCCTAAGCTGCTGGTTGGCAAGCAGAGCGATTTGGTGACATCTGAAGACTTGAGCCTGTCACTGACGGCACCGAGTGGACAGAGGCTGTGGATGCTGATAAACATGCTGTTTGCATGGGCCAGTTTCTTCCAAAGAAGGAATCAACGGCCTAAAATAGTCAGTGTTGAGGTTGAAAACTCCTGCCCAAGCAAAACAAGGGACATAGAGGAAGCACTTCAAACTTGCCTTCCTCATCTGTAAAAATTGTGTAAGAAAACAAAAATGAAAAAAACAGCCTTGCTTCACTCCTTCGGGGCTGCAGCAGGCACCATGTGCTGGCTCGCTCCTTCAACACCCACTCCCAATCCCTGCAACTTCTCCCTCATAAAACCAAAGCAGCTGCCTCCCAGTTGAGGCTGATGCGTGGTGACATCACGGGCGTTGGAGCGGCCCTGTGCTCCATAGAATAAGCAACTCCATAATGAAGAGCTCTGTAAACGCAACAGTGTCGTTCCCAGCTGAGGAGGTGTAAGCATTGTAAGCTGTGCCATGCACACACTATCACAGGCTGACTGCTGTCAAATCGCCCTCCCCCCATCTGGAGGGACCCCACACACAACGGAACAAGGCACTGTCAGGTCCTGGGTCGTTCCAAAATCAGTAGTGAAAGGGACAACACAACTCACATGATGTTCACTGGCTGATTTTAAGAAGTAGTTGCCAGGCCTTTCTTCCTAGTCTGGAAGTTCCACTGAAACACGTTTGGCACCCAATCAACAACCCAGTGTCCACTGACAGATGAGGGGTGGCTGCACATGAGGGGCTTTAACCGGGACTCCAAACCCGGTCTCTGCATGGAAGGTGAGAATTCTACCCCCGACCCACCAAAGTCTGAGCAGACGTTATACCAGTCACTGTCCACTCTGCCCAGGGTGACATAGGCGCCAGGGTAGAACTGTGTGCCACTGGGTTATCATCAGTGGCTGGATCTTTAGAAGAGATCGCCGGGCCTTGCTTCGAGGCACATCTGTGTAGATTCTAACTTCCAGCCTTTCCGCTAGCACATTAATCAGCGGTGCCACCCAGGAACCTTGAATAGACTCTACTCCCATACAGTGAGGACAAAGCAGAGCCTCTCAGACATGTTCGTATCTGCCCCGGGCATTGGCCTCATGCTGCCCACCAACACCACTCCCTCCTCTGCTCCTGATGTGGCATTTCCTGTTCAGAGTCTCTTCGTCTCATAGAGGTTGACGTCAATCTCCAAGGACAGACCTTCACTGCCCTTGCTTTGGCCGCCCTGCAGCTCTGCATCCAGTTTGATGCTAGCCAGTCAACCTGAATGATTTGCCACTTGCCATGGGACACCCCAGCCCACCACTGAGGATGTCAAGGAGAAGGCAGAAGAACACTCACCACCTTGGCTTCTCCAGGCAGGCAAGAGGGCTTCTCTGTGAAGAGACGGGACAAGTCAGAGAAAGTGGCATCCCCAGGCCTGTCTGCTCTAATAAAGAGAGTCACATGGGGCCCGAGCAGAACTAGCAGAGTGGGCCAAGCCCAGGGGAGAAATTTCCTACCAATGTGATCCTTGCCCCCTACCCCGCACATCGCGGGCAGGGCCACCAGGGTTCCCTCCCCCACCTACCATGCTCCCACTGCCCTGACTTGGCTCCTGTCACCCCTTCTGCTCAGGATGCCCTATTGTCCCTGCACACTGACCCCCAGGTAAATCCCCATAATACCCAGGAAACGCCTGGACAGAAATCCTGAGCTCCCACCTCCTCTGTCAGTCCTGATCACATCAGGCCTTCTAGTAAGAGCTTTGTAGGAATATGTCCACTCCCTGACTGCAAGCCTCTACACAACAGAGGTCGTGGTGGCCAGCTCTGCCCACTTCTTGAGGGGAGTCCCCCACAGGCACCCTGACACCCTTATTGGATAAAGGCTGAATGAGCACGCTCGGGAAGGCAGGGGCAGCAGCTTACTTTTCCTCTGGGTCAGGATGATGCAGTTCACCAGCATTATTAAGAGCAGTCCCACAGCTGTCATGCCCACAATCAGCCCTAGAAGAAGAAGCAAAGCTTACTTGGTCTCTAGGGAATGTCCCAGGGCCAGGCAGACCAGCGGCCAGGCAGCTAAGTCAATGACCACAGAGGGCCCGAGTTGTAAGTCCCATCTGTGATTGTTGTTGTCATGTCCACTACAACTTCTAGCGACCCTATGATTAACAGATCTGCACCTTGCCCAATCTGGCACCGTTCTTTTGATCTCTGATATTCTTGAGCCCATTGTTTTAGTCACTGTGTTAATCTGTCTTGCTGAGGGACATTTTCTATTATCTGTCCCTCCACCTTTCCCGGCATGATGTCTTTTTCCAAAGACTGGTTCCTCCTGGCAACATGCCCAAAGGATGCGAGAAGAAGCCCAGTCTAGACTCTCAAACTCAGTTACAAAACCGATACACACAAAATTGAGACCCAAACAAAGCAATCTGCAAGGTAGATGTAGCCCAAGGACCACCAGCTTGAGAGATCTCACTTGTTGTAACTCTAAACCCAGAAAGGAGCCTAGAAAATGGACTGACTTCAGCTCTCCGTCATCTTTGAGATGGTAACATGTGGACCACAGGCAGGACCCCATCTCTACCATTGTCACACACTGACCTCCACCTCTCCCTTCCCGGGGACTCTTGACAGCACTGAGTCTAGGGAGAGGACTGACTTTGTTGCCACCTGAATCCTAGGACAGAGCACTGCAGGCCCTCACCAAGACCAGGGGAATGACTGAATAGCCCACTGTGACTTACCGATTGGCAGAGCCATGCTGGCTGCACTGAGTCCCTCAACTGGGGGACTTTGACCCAAAGACAGCAGCGGGGAAGTGCTTCGAGTTACGTCAGGTCCTGGTGTGGGTGTCATGGGCTGGGGTCTTGGGGCCTCTGGCTGGAGTGTGGGGATTGACCCCAAAATCAGGGTAGGACCTGGTGGCCCACAGACTGTGTCCATGCTTGCGTTGCCAGGGACGGCCACAGAGCTGCAGCTGGGGAGGAGGAGGCTTGGTCAGGAGGCAGCAGAAGACAGATGGTTGGCTGCCTGACTAAAGACAGGCCACGGTGACTGGGCCATCCTGGGGAGTCCCAGTGGCCAGGATGGGAAGTGAGTGTCTGTGCCACATCCTCTCTCAGGTTGGTCCTTTCCTCTCCCTCCCTCAGTATCCCCATCCCCCACCCCATGTTCCCACCTTGAGATCCACCTGGACCAGGGGTAGGTGGGAGGTTAGTAGGGCTCAGTAATGCCTCTACCCAAGTCAATGAAATGGGGGTATTTCAGGTACTATTGTGTGGCCCTCCCCACTCCTCCAGTAGCAAGAGACTCAGCCACTTACATCCGGTGGGGCCTGCATGCATCAGTGGATGAAGTTGTGTTGGAGAATGTCCCAGGGGCACAGGGAGCGCACACCACATCTGACGTTTCTGTTCCTTCAGGGTAGAATTATGATCTGTCACCAACTCAACCTCATGGGACAGGTGGGCCTTGGTAATAGAGGCCCAAGCAAGAGTCCAAAGACTTCTGTCTGCACCTCAAACTTTCAACACACAATCCCTCTTCCTGGGGTACTTCTTAACCTTATATTAGTTTAGGGCTCACCAGATCCACGTCTGGATCCCCTGGGCCCAGCATACAGTAGGCACCTAATCAGAAGCACTGAGCAAAGACCCAAAGGTGGATAGACAGATGAATATGTAGCAAGCAACTTGGATGATGCTCCCAGACTGACCCGACTGGTATATGCCCATGATGACAGAGGGATTTCAGGAAGGGGGTCCTCAAGGTCTGCCAACCCTGGCTTTTATACCTGGTTTGGCCACTCCGAAGCCAGGCCGGCATTTGCGCAGTGGTGCACACAGCCGACACCCTTCCTGCCTCTTCAGGGTGCAGTACCAGCCTGGCTTGCAGTTACAGATACGATTCTGTTCCCGAGTGCAGGCTTGAACCTCCACCTGGTCTGGAGAAGCAAGAAGGCATCCCAGGGTCATTTCTGCTGCTACTGTGCCGCCCACTCTTCCCTTCCCTTCCCTTCCCTTCCCTTCCCTTCCCTTCCCTTCCCTTCCCTTCCTGCCAGCCTGGCACTCTGGAAAGTTCTCATCTACAAGGAGGCTGTGGATACCCCTCAGCATGGTAGCAAAAGGGACACTGGCCAGAGAGTCCCAAGGTCTGCTGTCTTGTTTCCGCTTCACTAGGGCATGATCAAGCCATGGCTGACCCCAAGATATAACGTCCCAAACTCCAAAATGAGCTCAGTTCCCCTCTCTCATCCCTGTCTGCCTGCCTGCCCCATGGGGCTTGAAAAAGGTTGAGAGAAACAGGATGAAAATGTCACTTGTAACCATGTGAACAATTAATCCTGGGGAGTGAGACAACTGGCCTGCACAACCACGTCTTGGGTAAGGGGCTAAAGTGCATGCTGGCCAGCCGAGCACGCCGGGGCCCACCCCTCTCTCTGGAACCCACTCACCGGAGCTGCATCGAGAGTTACAGCTCAAGCACTCAGACACCCAGTTCCAGAGCTGGGTGTACGTGCTGTCCTCACAGGTGTCACACACAGTGTCAGAGGTCGTGGTGCAGAAGTTCTTTACATGTTTGCCTGAGAATGCAAAAGACAGGTCTTAGCGACTGGGTCTCTGCCCTGGTCTCACCTATTAATCATAGTCTGAGAGTGCTGAGGCCTAACTGGAAGGCTCTTAGATGAAGTTTCAATTCCTCTATCCACTCTCCTTACGCGAGTCTCTCAACTCTCTGAATTTAAGAAGCACACAGATCTGAGTTTTAATCCCACATCTGACATACTGCAGTGGTTGCTCGACCTGTGGACTCCCAAAGCTCCTAAAATCACCTCCTTTCTGCTCTTTCCAGAGACCTGAAATTCTACCATTGGAAGCTTACTCTCAGTCAATCAAACTTTAGAGAGAACTAGTTTATCTTTGGAAGCAGGAGTGGCACCCACTTCCTGAACAACACACCTCTGGAAACTCTATAAACTTTGAGAAATGATGATAGTTATAGAAAGGCTTCAGGGCTTTTGTTTGTTAAAGTCGCTATGAACTCGACAGCAATCAATAATAACAATGACAACAGTTTGTCTATCAGCTCCTTTCTTCTTTCCAGTTGGCTAAAGTTTTCCATCTGTGGGTATGGACTAGAGATAACTCAGGAAATCAGGAATGTAGTCCTAGGACCCTAACAAGGATGAGACTCCAAAAGATACAGAGAGAAGGCAAGATAGGACAGGAGAATATTAAGGCAAACCTTGAAGGAATTTATTCCTACCCAGCTATGTTCATTAACTGTTAAATTAGTTTCTTAATGTTGTTTAGGTGCCATTGCATCAAGTACAACCCACAGAACAACAGATCTGAAACCAGCCCTATCCTGTGTCATCCTCACAATCTCTGACATACATACTTGATTAGACACTTGCGTAGGGCCCCCTAAAATGGCTGGGGAAAGTGACAGGTACATTTGAGCCTATCCAGGCTCAGGCTAGTAGCTCAACCATTCCATTAACTTCCTGATATCCTCAAAATAAAATCTAACCTCTTTGCCATGGTCTCTGCTTACCTCTTCCTCATGTCCTACCACATACCCTTCTCTCACTCTAGACCACCCACCTTGGCCTTGGTATTCCTCAAGCCTACCAGACTCCCACCACAGGGCCTTAGCACTAGGCTGTTGCTTCAGCCTGGCCTGCTGTTCCCTGGTATATTTGCATAACTTGCTCTATCACCTCCCTCAGGTTTGGGCACAAATGTCATCTCATATAAAACTCATGTCCACTCTGCTTGTTTCCTTCAGCCTTAATCTTTCTTGTTTTTTTCACTGCACTCACCACTCTGATATGACCACAAATCTCTTCTATCTCCTGGTTTTGTTTGTGGCCTCCATTAGAATGCAAATTCCATGAGAACAAGGATTTTGTCTACCTCGCTCTCTGCTTTACTCTTAGCACAGTACCGGACACATTGGAAGGCCTTTCTGAATATATTCCAAACCTCAAACTCATTGACATAGAATCAGAACAGACTCATAGCTGGCCATCCATTGGATTTTCTGGGCTGTAAATCTCTCTAGAGGAGACTGTCACTTTCCCTTCTTTCTCAGAGCTGTTGGTGAATTTAAACTACCAGAAGCAGGGGTAGCAGCTCCACTTCCTATGGGCTACATCACAAGAGCTCACTTTTTAAATACAAATGTGTATAAATGAATGAAAGGATGGATGGCATCGTGATAGGCCACCTGGCTCATCCCACTGGGAACTAGACTCAGATCCGCCCTCTGTGGAATGCGTATCCATTCGTTGATTCAGTCACATATGTACTCAGCACCTACTGTATACCAGGCTGTGTACGAGGTGTTAGAGATTCAGTGGGAGGTTGGGGAGCAAGACACAATTCCCATCCTGGAGGAGCACACAGTGGTGGTGGGAGAGATGCATGCAGAGAGTAGTCAGGCCATTTTGCACAGTGTGAGAAGAGCCGCGATGAGGGCCACCGAGGGCCGGTGGGGACTCAAAGGACGTCATATGAAACAGGCTCCTGGCAGGGATAACAAAGCCAGGATTGAATGGAGGAAGGGACACCGACCAGGAGAAGGAGTTGAGAAAGAACAGAGAGAGTGACGTGTGTTTTTGCACAGAAGCAAGAAGGAGCCTAAGACCAGCTTAGAGAAGGAGTTCAGGAAGTGAGGACTCACAGAGGAGAGGAAAGAAAATCACAGATCCCGAGAAACAATTAATCAAAGGATCGCTGGAACACATGGAAGTCAACCTCCCCTCCCCTGAGAGCAGAAGAACTCGATGGTACCCAACAACCGACCGTTGTTGACTATTCTAAAACAGGGGGCAGTAGAGTAGAAAAGGAGAAAAATGTGGAACAAACTCTAAAATCACAAAATTGACCTGGCATGTTTGTCCACTAGGAACTGGAAGAAACCCTCACACCCTGACCTTCAGTAACCTCTGAGCCCAGAACTAAAACTCACCCCGTGGGCCAGCTTCTACCCCGCGGGCCAGCTTCTACACAAACAGCTTATATTTAATGAGCACCAAGGAGGTGCTGGCTCCTTAAAACAGTCAATCAATATCATAAGAGCAATATTTGCCCAGGAAGAAAGCTCACGAAAGCTCAGAAGGCAGGAAGGGGTAGGATATGAGGAAGGAGGGAAAGGAGAATCCCAGAGGAGGAAAAGCACTTGGGGGGGGGGCGACTCTAATTAATGCCATAATACAAAATCTATACAAATCGCTGAACAGGAAAGTCAAGCTTACACTCAAAGCACAATATAAATAAATAAGGAAGGACAATTAAAAGCAGCAAGGGCTCTGCCCTACTGGTCCAATCCTTCTCTATAATCACATACACATCTTCGGGGAACCAGCCCCCAGAGTCCCAGACTGGTCCAAGGCTCAGGATCCAGGTGAGGGGCTTCTTACCCGGTGGACACTTGCTGCAGCACATCTGGGCCCTCTGGTCATAGTACTCCTTGGGCCGGCACTCTGTCCCAGGCTCCAGGGCGTAGGGAACAGCAAAGTCTGGAGGAGGGTGGGAAGGATAACCGTCAGCACAATGACTTCTCAGTGCCACCACAGCTGATACCCTGACCCCTTCCTGGGGTCAAATGCCGGGTCTCCACTGACATGGGTAATTCTCGGCTCTGAAGGGAGAGAGGGGCTGATGCCGCCTCCTTCTCCCCCCTCAAGCCCACAGGCAGGCAGTCTTCCTCCCAGTACAAGGTTGCCCTCTGCCTGGAAGGCCTCCTCTCTCCTTCTAAACGGGACAAACTGTCTCCCAAATCACCCCAAGCAGGAGGGTGGACGTTGCTTTGCCCCAAGAGAATCCTCAGCACTAACTACAGGAGCTCCTCATTCATAAGGGCCGAAGAAAAGTGCAGGAGCAGAGCAGTCGTCAGCCGGGGTGGGGGTGGGGGCCGTGAGGGGATCTGACAGAGCAGACCACAGGGCCAGTCTGGCTGGGGGCAGCATTTCCTGTCAGGGCTCTGGGGGCCTGATGGGAAAGGACGTTGCCTTGGCTGAGACTGGGCTTTCTCGAACGTAGGGTCCTGGTCGCCAAAGGCTGGCAGGTGGACCACCAGTGCCCCTCTCTCCCCCCAGCCTCCCCACCCGCTGTCCCGCCCCAAGCAGCTTCTGAGTTAACAACCTGCGCTCCGCTGCCTCCTGCTGCTCCGCATGGCTCCAGCTCCAGCAGCCAGCCCGCTGGTGAAAAGCTCAGCCCTTCCTTGAGCTATCGTGAGCCCTGTTTATCCTCTTAGATAGAAAAGAGAGGGAGGGGGGGATAAAAGCCAAAATGAAGCCCCGTCACGGCTAAACAATGAGGAACAGAAAGTCCCTCCTCACTGAGTGGGCAGGACAAAAGGTCACTCCCTCCACCACGTGGCTCCCAAGAGCAGGAGCTGGGTCCAAACCACAGCCTTGACAGTGGACGCAGGTCACTGCAGCGACTGCCCGGCCACCTCTGAGAAGAGCCGGGGCTCCCAGAGCCTTTACGTTGAGTTGGGGAGTCTGAGTCACAGTCCACTCCCACTCCAAAGAGGATCTCTGATTAGTGGTTTAAAATGAGGAAATAAATTGAAAAGTACTCAGCATATTTAGCAAACCCAAACTTTCAAAACATGGGGTTCCAAGATGAATATTTGGAAATCATTGATGAGAGTTAACTACCCGTTTAACAGTCGGGGAAGCTATAGTCTGGTGGTGGAAGAGGGAACTAGGAAATATGTATCACAAAGAGATATAAAAATGCTCTCAGGTCTTTATATCAAATTTGTGAGGTAGACATGATTGCGTCCATTTTACAGAAGACAACACTAAGGCAGAAAGGTGTGGAGTCTCAGAGACTCTGAGCAATCCAGAGCCTTGTGGGTGACAGACCCCTCATCTGCCCATAGGCCTCAGAGCTGTTTCAGTCCAAGGTTTGTAGCCCCTAAGTCCTGTCTTTAACACTGGACTCAATCATCTTCAGAGAGGAGGTGCCTGAGTTACGGGTCACCGGTGCTAGGAGTCCCTGGGTCCTGCAAATGGTTAATACACATGGCAGCTAACTGAAAGGTCAGAGGGTTCAGTCTACCCCAAGGCACCTCAGAAGAAAGGTCTGGTGCTCTAACTTCAGGGAAAACACGATAGAACACAGTTACTCTTGTGGGGATGATAGGACAACTGGTTATTAGAGTTGCTGTTGATAGTCTTCTCATCAGCCCTGGGGGATAGGGGGGCATCTAAAATTTCCTAGATGGCCAAAGAGGGGCCAACTGTCCCAAAGTCACAGTGGGAAAGCCCACACTCAGCACCTCCTTGTCTATCTCCCTCCTTTTGAAGGACCACGATTGCCCTGTCCTTCAACACTGATGAGACCCAAGACTCTAAAGGCCCAGCTGAGTAGTCCAGGCTCAGCCTTCATGACCCTCTCCATTTCCCCACCACGCAGCCTCCAACCTAGGCAGGTGCTGTGTTTGTCATCCCAGCTTTGAGCCCTGCCCTATCAGGCTATCAACTTTCCTTCAGGGAGGAAGAAAATACCTTAAACATCTACTGTGTGTCAGGTCAACTTGCAGGTCCTTTATTTCCACAAAACCCCCCAAAAGCAGGTGTGAGAGTCCACTCCAGGGCTCCGAGCAACCAAGCTACTTGTCTGAGATGCTCCAGGAAAGAGGGATGAAGCTGGGGGATAGCCAGGCTGCTGCTTTTACCCCAGAATATTTCCTACTCCCCAAGATGGAAGGAGTCAGCTCCAGGCCTCCATCTGACCTCTAAATCTTTGCTACACCACCAGCCCCCAGTTTCCCCTGTCCAACGCTGAGTTAGGTCTTAGGCTTTTACACCTGAACTTCCTTTTCTCTCTCTTACACACACACACACACACACACACACACACACACACACACACACACACTATGGGAGACCTCTCCTGCCCTGAGGCCAATATTCTCAGATCTCAACTGAGAAGGAGCCAGCCAACAGGCAGACTCCTTCAGCAAAAGACAGCCATCCCTACCCAAAGTGGCCATTTAGACACTAGGCTTTGAGCAGGCCCATCACAAATGGCAGGCCTGGGGCAGCCAAGGGTGAAAGGAAGCAATTAATGAGCCAGGAGGGCTAGGTTAGATGACAGTGCTAAAAAGGAAGAAGAGACACAGAAGTGGGGACAGAGAAAGACAAAACATCTTAAAATTGGTACAAGCCTTAGAGATCACCTCAAACATGCATGCCTACATATGACTTGCCAGACATTGTTCTACGTGTTAGGGACCTGGCATTGAAGAAATCAAATTTCCCACCACTAGGAAACTAATTGTATTATGTACTGTTGAGTCAGAACCGACCCACAGGTGACTCTCTAGCAGGATTTCAGAGGCAGTAAATCACATAGACTATGAGATGTGAGCCAGCCAGTGAATAAGGATGACAGAAGAATGGAGGCCTTTGAACTGTGGTATTGGAGAACAGTGTGAAGATCCCATGGTCTCCCAAAAGAATAAACAGATATGTCTTGGAGAAGGTGTAGCCAGAGTGCTCTTGAGAGGCAAAATTTGCAAAGCTTTGTCTCACATACTTTGGGCATTTTGCTAGGAGAGGTTACTCCTTGAAGAGAGACATTATGCTTGGAAAGGTGGAGGGAGGCAAAGGAGAAGAAGACCTCCAATAAGATAGATTGGTACAGCGACTATAGCAGTGAGATTGAACGTGTCAGAGATTTTGAGGATGGCACGAGACGGAACAAGGTTCAAGTCTGTCGTTCAAGTACGAGTCATATTTGACTTGTTGTTACGCCCGGATCAGGTGCACCTTAGTCTCCAGCCTGACATCATTGCTCTTCAGTATTCTTGAGAGGTCCCTCACATCTGACTTTCCCAATGCAATTAGTCTCTTGATTTTCTGGCTGCTGTTACCAAGAGTGTTGATTGTGGAGCCGAGTAAACTAAAACGCTAACTATCTCAGTCTCTTCACCATCCATACTGATGCTGCCAATTGGCCCAGTGGTGAGAATCTTTTTTTTTCCTTGATGTTGAGCTTCGATCCATATAGGAGGCTGCAATCCTTGACCTTCTGCAAGTGCTTCAGGTCCTCCTCAGTTTCAGCAAGCAGGATTGTATCATCTGCATAACACAGGTTGTTGATGACTCTTCCACCAATCCTGATGCCACATTCCTCCTCATGCAGCCCAGTGTTTCGGATGATCTGTTCTGCATACAGATTGAAAAGGTATGGAGACAGAATACATCCCTGACAGACCCACTTCTTGATTTTGAACCATGTAGTGTCTCCTTGCTCTGTTCTGACGACTGCCTCTTGGTCCAAGTATAGGTTTCACATTAGCATAATCAATGGGATTCCCATTCTTCTCAGAGTCAGCCACAGCTTGTGATCCACACAGCCAAAAGCCTTTGCATAGTCAATGAAGCACAGATAGACATTCTTCTGGTATTCTCTGCTTTCTGCCAAGATCCATCTAACATTAGCTATAATATCCCTAGTACCACGACCTCTTCTAGATCCAGCCTGCACATCTGGCAGTTCTCTGTTGACATATTGTTCCAAACGTTTTTGGATAATTTTCAGCAGAATCTTGCTTGCATGTGATATTAATGATATTGTTTGGTAATTTCTGCACTCCTTTGGGTCACCTTTCTTTGGAATGGGAACAAATACTGATCTTTTCCAGTCAGTCGGCCAGCTGGCTGTCCTCTTTCTTGGCACAACTTAGTGAGCACATCCAGTGCAGTGTCTGTCTGTTAAAATATGTCAGTTGGTATGCCGTCAGCTCCTGGTGCCTTGTTTTTTGCCAATTCCTTCAAAGCAATTTGAACTTCCTCCTTCATCACCATAGGCTCTTGCTCATATGTCATATCAAGGCACATAATAATAATAAGTTAATACTCCAGTGGACAGACACAGAGATAGGATACAACGTGAGGTGGTAAGAAGAGCTAAGAAGGGAAAAGTGTGGGACCAGGAACAAGAGAGAGGGCACTCACTATGTTCAGTGCTTAGCTAAGTGACTAGAGTTGCTGGAACACAGTAGTGAGGGTAAGGAATGGACATTAGACAGCGATGGTGGTGACGGGAACAGCAGGGGTGGCAGCTCTTTATAACAGCTTAAAGTTGATATACTATCATCATTCCCAAGTTACAGATGAGAAAATTGAGGCTCAAAAATGTTTCCTCACTTCTAGTGCTGTTTATTCCCTGACATTAATAAGCTGGCATATTTGTGTCCCCCCACCCTATGAATACTGACATTCAAACCTCATCTATCTGATCATGTTCAGTACTCCCTCGGCTCTAGACAGCAACCTAGCTTTTTCAGGCCTTGTTTTCTCTCATGTAAAGAACGGAATGGGTGCCCATGATGGGCTAGACTTTTCCTCAATTTGGATGCTCCTTAGAGATGGTGTGAAAAAAAAAATGTGGTCAATTCTGAGGCTTCAGAAGTATGAGGTAGGTAAATGGCACAGTCTTACATTGTTGTTGTTGTTGTTGTTAAGTGTTGTCAAGTCATAGATGACTCACAGCGACCCTGGGGTTTCCAGAAGCAAGCTATTTCAGAAGTGGATGCCACTCCTGCTTCCAAGCTTGTTTAAATCGCAGAAGCTCTACCAAACACTGTACCATGGGTAACCATTATCATATTTGACACATCAGTGTCACAGTGTTTAGCATCACAGCAAATACAAGTTACCTCTGTACAGAAAATGGACCAGTGCTGTATCACTTAGAAGAATGTTTGACCAAAAACACTTAAAACCAGTCCTGAGGGCCACAGATTAAAATCACCCACCTTTAGCTTGGTAGCATAGCTTTCTGTCCACTAGGCCAACTGATCTCTCTCTATGATGTTGTTGTAAAGATCTTATAAAGATGGAAAATCTGAGCAAGTAGGTGGGGTTGGATGAGGGCAGCCTGAGCAGACGGTCTCTATGAGGATTGACACAGAGGTGTTACCTCCAGATACACTGGGCATCGGGCCTTACAAAAGAGGCACTGGACTTGGCATAGAGGACCTTGATTTTGATTTCCTATAGGCTAGACCCTAGGAAATTTTAGTCCAGGTGGTGGGTGGGGAAGGTTTAAGCAGCCAGCCACAGCTCACAGGGCTCAGGTAAAGGGACATATGACCATGTGGTGGTGAATCCCTGAAAGTCAGCAGGAGAAAGCGACCAAAGTCAAAGACAAGGGCAAAGTCAAGCCTCACCTGATAAATATGAGACTGACCTGATAGGCAGGGGGGACCTGTCCTACCTGCTGCTCCCCATTTTCCCCACTCTTTTTCTTCTCATTCTCACCCTGGAAAGCCAGAGTCCTCGAGAATGAGCTTAGTTCAAGGTGGGGATGCAGAGAAGGGAACCTCTTACAGCCCCCGCCCCTGCTTCCTTGTGGGAAGAGCCTGAGCAGAGGAGGAAAGAACATTATTTGTTTGTTTATTGGTTGCAGTATGTCATTTGTTGCTTTTTTTTCCCTTCAGAATTGTGATGTGGGTAAAATTTTGCAGAGCTAAGTGGGAACATTCAATGATTCATACCTATTTTGTTTTGTGATATTAACTGCAAGCCCCAGACTGTGACAGCACTCTGCCCACATCCTCTCAGTTTGCTGTTTCTATTAGTGCATCTTCTGTATCCATTCCTGCCTTCTTACCTTTAACTCAGCGCGTTGCTGTCAACTTAGAACCAACTCATAGCTGTCCCCTTGTGAGTATCCAAGCCTGTAAATCACACAGGAAGAGATTGCCCATCTTTCTCCCGGGGAGCCACTGACGGATTTGAGCTGCCAGAGAGGAGCAGTCTTTGGTTTAGGGAAACAAGTAACTCCCTGTAGACTATGTCACCATGCATTAGCCCTGAGCAAGTGCTGGCCTTTAGGTCTTGTATGATTGATTGTTCCAAGGAGTGAGTTGTGTCATTGTTGTTGTTGTTGTTAGGTCCCATCAAGTTGAGCATGACTCACAGCGACCTTATGAACAAAAGATCTGAACCCTGTTCTATCCTGCACCATCCTCACATTTCCTGACACATGAGAGCCCATTGCAGCAGTTAACGTGTCAATCCACCTGGTTGAGGGTCATCCTCTCCTTTGCTGAACCTCCACCCTTCCCAACATCATGTCCTTCTCCAAAAAATAGCACCTCCTAGCAATATGTCCAAAATATATTAGGCAGAGCCTCATCATTCTCGCCTCCAAAGAGCATTCTGGCTGCAACCTCTCCAAGCCATATCTGTTCATTCTCTTGGCCATTTATGGGATCTTCAGTGCTCTTCTCCAACACCACAACTCAATGGCATCAATTCTTTTTCTGTCTCCTTATTGCTTGTCCAGGTCTCGGATGCATAGCAAGTATTCCCAAAGACTATGGCCTGCATCAGATGCACCTTAATCCTCAAACTGACATCACTACTCCTCAATAATTTGGAAAGGTCCCTAACTGCAGATTTTCCCAGTGCAATGTGTCTCCTACTTTCCTAATATTATTGCAGTTAGGCTGCTATTATTAGGTGCCATGGAGTTTGCTTCAAGCCATAGCAACCCTCTATACAACAGAACAAAATTCTGCCCCATCCTGTGCCACCTTCATGATTTCTGCCATGTTTAGCCCATTGGTGCAGTCCCATGGCAATCACTTCGATTAGGGTCTTCCTCTCTTTCACTGACCCTCTGTTTTTCCAAGCATGATGTCCTCCAGTATTGGTGCCTCCTGATAAGATGCCCTAAGTACGTGAGACAGTTTCATCTTCTTCGCTTCTAAGATGAACTCTGTTGCACTTCTTCCGACACAGATTCATTTTGTTCTTTTGGCCATCTGTGGTATATTCAATATTCTTCACTAACAACTCAACTCAAAGGCATCAGTTCTTTAGTCTTCCTTATTCATGGTCTGTCACATCCATACGAAGCAATTGAAGACCGCATCTTCGGTTGGTCACACTACAGTCTTTAAAGTGAAATCCTTGCTGATTAGCATGTTAAAGAGACCTGTCTTATTTGGCTGAAAGATGAGCTGTGGCCTTGAGTTCAGTTTCAGGCTCAAAGGGCATGTAAAGGCCATAGTCATCAGGGTTCCAGCAATCTTTATTAAATGAGCAAGCCTGACCTCTTGAAAATTACTATTATTTTGAGTTTTGTTCCACAATTCCCCCAACTTTATCCCCTGGACTTCTTATTGAGATCTATTTCAGAGCAGTCAGAGTTCTTGCTGGTGTTGTTAGGTGCCATTGAGTCGAATATGACTAATAGTGATCTAACGAATAACGGCTCTAAATCCAGTTCTATCCTGTGCGTCTTCACACTTCCTGACACACAAGAGCCCATTGCAGCAGTCACCATGTCAATCCATCAGGCTGAGGGTCTTCTTCCCCTTTACAGGCCCTCCACCCTTCCAAGCATCATGTCTCACTCCAAGGGATAGCTCCTCCTAGCAACATGCCTGAAGTTTGTAAGGCGAAAGCTCATCAATCTTGTCTCCAGAGAGCACTCTGGCTGCACCCTCTCCAAGACATACATATTTGTTCTTTTGGCCACCCATGAGATGTTCAGTGCTCTTCTCCAACACCACAGCTCAAAGGTGTCAAATATTGTTCTGTCATCTCTTCATTGTTCAGCTCTCAGATGTATAGCAAGTGATCAAAAGGACCTTGGCCTGAATTATATGCACCTTAGTTCTCAAACTGACATCATTACTCCTCAGTAATTTGGAGAGGTACCTAACTTCAGACTTCCCAGTGCAATGTGTCTCCTGATTTCCTGACTGCTGGTACCAAGGATGTTAATTGAGGGCACAAGTAAGATAAAGTTGCTGATAGATTCACTCTCTTCTCCATCTACCATAATGTTGCCTATCAGTCCAGTGGTATGAATCTTTGTCAGTAGTGGTACCAAATAACCAGCCAGTTCATCTTAGATTCCAACCCATGGACACTCATGTATGTCAGGATCGAAATGTATTCCATAGGATTGTCAATGGCCGAGTTTTCAGTACATGTCCATTCCTTTCTTCTGAGACACCTTTGGATAGTTGCAAGCCTCTAAAACTTTTCAATTAGCACCAAATCCTATTACCCATTTGCACCACTCATGGACACCATTAATAGTCACACACAATTCTAAGTAAGTGTGTGTTTCCAAAAAAAACCCACTCTAGGGTTTGTTCGTGACTTGCAAAAGATCACCAGACTTTTCTTCCAAGATACCTTTAAGTGGGTTTGAACTGCCAACCTTTCAACCAGCCATTTGCCTCACCCCAGGGACCATCCCCAGCACTACTTTGTGCTAAGTACAAATATTACTCCCATTTTACAGATGAAGAAGCTGGGATTTAGGAAGCCATGTAGCCATGAAAGGGCAGGACCAGAGCAGTCATGAAGGTCTGGCTGTTCCTGGATCCAGGTGAATTCTTAAGGAACTGGGACACCCTGGCCCAGCTGATTACCAACTTTTCCAGTTCCTAGACCAAAACCCTAGTGAGTACCCCAGGCTGGTGACTCTCAGTCCCTTCTCCTTTTTATAAATAGACAGCGAGAGAGAGGAAGGAAAAGGAGGGCAGGCCTGGGGAAGAGGAAGGGGTGGTGACCCGAGACTCATTTAAAAGGACAGAAACTACTTGGCTGCTTTTCCTTCCACCAGCAGACAGCATTCTTTGGAGTCTTCAAGACTTTTTTACTTCCTGGAGACCCCTGTAGGATTGCAGTACCCTTGGATAGCATCCAGCTTCCCCATGCAGAGATGGGATAGCTGCAAGCTGAGAGTAAAAGGACAGATGGTGGGAGGAGGAAAGGTTTCAGCTTTAGGGGTGTGTTAAAATATACACAGCAAAACATGCACCAATTCATAGGACTGTGAAATGGTGCAACCACCCTGGAAAACAGTATGGCACTTCCTCAAAAGGTTGGAAATAGAAATGCCATTTGAGCCAGCAATCCCACTACTAGGTACCTATATCTTAAAGGAATAAGAGCAGGGAAGCCAACAGATACACACACCCCCTTTATTTATAACAGCAAGGTTTAAAATAGCAAACAGATGGAAACCACCTCTTGTCCATCAGCAAATGAATGGATAAACAAACTATGGTACATCCAAGCAGTGGAATACTATGCAACACTAAAGAATAATGAAGAATTCCAGAAACACCACATAACATGGATAAATCTGGAGGACACGGAGTGAGGTAAGTCAGTCACAGAAAGAAAAATATTGTATGAATCTACTCTTACAAAAAGCTAAGTAAAGATTTACACACAGAAAGAAACATTTCTTGATGGTTACTAGGGATGGAATGGGAGGGGAGGGGTAGGACGAAATATCAGTAACTAGATACTAGCCAGCGTATTCTGTGGGCACAGGGTCCATAGGGTCTCACACTGCTAACAGAAAGGTGGTATCTCTCTGGCAGTTTGAATGCATTAGAGGGAAGATGGGCAGTGTCCTCTCATGCGATTTACAGCCTCTAAAAACCTACTGAAGGGTCAGCTATGAGATGATTCCAACTTGACAGCAGTAGTGAGTGAGGTAATAGACACAAATAAAGTTAGCGAAGGTAAAGATACAATAAGGGGGTGACCAGCACAATATCATTAAAGAAAAAACACAGAGAGGTGCAGGAGAATTCTTTCGACTCATGTTGGCCAGACTCCAAATGGTATGATATTTAAGAGCCTGAGATTGCATTCAGTTGGGTAGTCAAGAGGCAGGCTAGGTGACACTGTAAAATGATCAAATGAATTGTAGGCTAATGGGGGCAATAGAAGCCATCAAGATATTCTCCTATAGGGGTTCCTAGTCAATCTTATAGGGTAGAGCAGAGCTGCCAAGAGTAGGCCTGCCAAGGCTGTCATCTTCACAGAAGCACACAGTCACATCTTCATCCCGAGGAACACTGGTGGGTTTCAACCTTTCAGTTAGCACTTGAACATTTAACTACTAAGCCACCAGGTATCCTCTAACTGGGCAAAGAGGAAGACCCAGGCACTA